GTGTGTGTGTGTGTGTGTGTGTGTGTGTGTGTGTGTGTGTGTGTGTGCCTAACTCTAGCACTTCGAAGGTGGTGGAAGCAGGAGGCTCAGCAGTTGGGTCATCCTTGACTACATAGTGAGTTCAAGGCTAGCCCAGGCAGAGATTCTGCCTCGAAAGAAAAAGAAAATTACGTCACAATAAGAGTAAATCATTTCCAAATGAGAACGTAGCATGGGTTACTGTGAGACTTTGACATTTGCATGACTTTTGAGAGACTCAGAGACTGTGCATGCATGCTCGTGCGTGTGTGCATGTGTGCGTGTGTGTGATGTCAATAATCATCTTTCATCACCCTTCCACCTAATTCATTAAGCAAGGTCTCTCAATCAAACCCAGAGCTCACTGATGAGGCTAGTCTTGCTAGCCAACTTGCTCTGGGAATTACAGGCCACACCCAGCCAGCATTTAGATGATTCCAGGAATCTGAACTCTAATCCTCATGCTTGCACGTCGGGTGCTTTAACTGCTGCACCATCTCCTCGGCCTCCCGGTACTTTATTCCTACTGAGCTCCAAGTGATGCTGGTGCCAAGTCTCGATCTCATGGTCTCAGGCCTGAGCTTCCTTCCCAGTCAGCCACAGATGGGCCACTCAGGACCGCAGAGCTGGGTTCCCATGGTACCCCAGTGTACCTTACAAATCACAGGCCATGAGCGACCTATCTGTTCTATGTCCCAGCTCTTCTGCTGTACAATGGAGTGGAAAACAGACCCTAACTTCGAGGGTAAATATTAAATAAGACTGTGTGCTGTGTGGCCAGCATAGAGCTGGGCCCATGATGGATTCTCAGTAGTGAGTGTGGCCGCTATTCTCTTTATGACTTGGAGACCTTTCTAACAGAAAACACCTTCTTGTTCTTCTCTTAGAGCCTGAGGGCAGACGAGGATGCTGGCGAGAAACTGAACCCTTCCTTCCTTGACCTGGTCAGAACCCCTCAGATAAGGAAACATACTTTGATTTTGATGTACAGTTGGTAAGGCAATCCTTTGTGTTAACTTAAAATGCTTATACATTCATACAATTACAGTCGCTCATAGTAAAGAGAGGGAAAAGCACACCTCACCTCAAATTAGCACCAACAGAAGACATTGACCTGTTTCTCACAGACAGCAGGCTTACCTGGTAACACTTCCTTCAGACAAATGCAAAATTGGCTTGGGATGGGACAGAATTTTCAACAATTTTTTAAAATCTTTTTTTTTTTTTTTATGTGCATTGGTATTTTGCCTGCATGGATGTGCAAGGGGTCTGATCCCCTAGACGTGGAGTTACAGGGAGTTGTGAGCTGCCACGTGGGTTCTGGGAATTAAACCTGGGCTCTCCGGAAGAGCAACCGGTGAGCCATCTCTTAACCGCTGTGCCATCTCTCCAGCCCCAAATTTCCAACAATTTATGGAAGTGGTCCTCAGAGTACTTCTGTTATTTTGTACTGTGTATTTATAGGAAGTGGCATTTCTCCGAAATGACAATTATAAAAGAAAAGTATTGGTCAGTTCTGAAAAATATTGAAGATGCCGTTTGTCCGACGGCATCAAAAACTCAATATTTAATTACTCACATAAAAATAAATATGCGGCTGGGAAGACGACTCAGTCGTTAAAAGTACTTGTGGCTCTTGAAGAGGACCTGGGTTCAGAATCCAGCACCCACATTGTGGTTCCCACTGCCAGTAACTCCAGTTTCAAGAGATTTGTCACCATCTTCTGGCCTCCATAGGCACCAGGCATATGCGTTTACATGCAGGTAAAGCACCGATACACACAAACTGAAAATAAAGGAATGTTTTAAAAAACAAGTATGTGTCTCCATATCATTAATATACAATTCTACTTTCATCATAACAGATGGCAAAATTATACATAGACCAAAGAATTATTTTAAAATAAATTTCTTTATGAGTATCAGCAAATGTTAGATTTGAATACCTATTTTATATGCCTATATACTTGGGGGTCTCATAAAAATTTCTTGGGTGAAAGAAGAAGAAAGTGTAAAAATATTTAAGGAGCCCTGGCCTGCGGCTCCTTAAAAACCAATAAGGTTTTTGGTGTATGTTGTTGTTTTGGTTTTTTCTTTTTTTTTTTTTTTTTTAACTCTCCAAATGGTTCTAATATATAATCCAAATTGAGAAGTATTAGTATAGATTATTTGATCTGCTTTTAGATCTCTACAGATGTACAAAGCTAGGGAGGAGAGGCCTCTCCTACCCTTTTTACTTGGGAGGGAAAACAAACAAACAAACAAACAAACCCACTCCAAAATGTATGAAGTCGACAGCACTGACTCTACAATACAGGGACCGAGCCTCTCGAGGCTGGCCGTGTGCAGGCGCTCTCAGAGCTGTGGGGGTCAGTGTGATGACCTCCATAAAGAGGAGGCTATTTCCCCACAGTGAGCTCTGCTCCCCACAGTGGCTTCAGAAAGACCTGCCCTTGCTGGGAAGAGCCACAGATGTCAGGGTACGGCATGGCACAGGCAGCTTTGACCTTTGACCTCACTCGCCTTTCCTTCTGAATATGGACTCTGGCCCATCAGCCTCAGATCTTCCATTCTTTTAAGTTAACATAATTTGAAACACTTGTCAGAAGGGCAGTTGGGACAGGCCGGGGAAGAAACCATTGAGAAGACATACATTGGGTCTTCAGGTTCATGAAGTCTGAATGAAGTAGTCCAAGTCTTTACATCCAAAATGCATTAGAAGACCACAAAGAGCCTAGAAGGTGGTTCGGTGGGTTAAGTACCTGCCGAACAAGCATGAGGTCGTGCATTTGGATGCTCCACGCCACATAAAAAGCTGGATTTGAAGGCATGTGCCTATTGTCCTAGTGCTGGGAAGTGAAAACAGTGGATCCCTGGGGCTTGATGGACAGTCAGCCTAAATGATCATGGTGTTCAGGTTCAGAGAGAGGCTCTGTCTCAAAAAGCAAGGGGGAGAGAAATAGAAGGAAATGCATGACATCAGCTTCTGGCCTGCACATATACCTTCACACACACACACACACACACACACACACACGAACAATTATACAAGCATACAAACACACACACATGCACACCCAAATACATAAACAACATTACATTAAATACTCACATAAAAATATAAAGGGGGAAGTGGTTGCCAACCATGAGCCAGCCATTGGCTATTAGTCCATGTAATCATTCCATCAGGACTTCTCAGCTTCTCACTGGGCCAATGAATGGCCCCAGATGTTTCCCAGCTGTTTCCAGGTTTCTGCCTCTCTGGCACCTCCAGCCACAGTAAAGTAGTGGGTATAAAAACAATGGCACAGATGGAACACTAGAGAAAAGGTCACAGACAAAGGTCACCTACCACCAACTCTTCTTCCTCCCCAAAGCCTCTCCTGCGGGAACGTGTGCTCAGTGCTCAGCTTGACCCTGGCTCTCCTCTCTGCTCAGGTTCACGAGCTCTGTTCTCTACCAGGGCCTTATCATGCACATGGGCCTTGCAGGCAGCAACATCTACCTGGATTTCTTCTACTCTGCCCTGATGGAGTTCCCAGCTGCCTTCATCATCATCCTCACCATAGACCGTGTTGGTCGCCGCTATCCTTGGGCTGCGGCAAATACGGTGGCTGGAGCAGCCTGTCTAGCTTCAGTTTTTATCCCTGCTGGTAAGTTCAGAGCACGAGGGATTTGAGGAAGGCAGGCCCAGCACAAAGCCTTGCTCTAGAACATTCCACCAATTCCTTGACCTCTGTATAATCATGCACTGTAAATGAGAAAAACCTCACGGCATCAGCAACTATCTTATATCTTTCCTTATGGGTCAAAAGGCCGTGAAACAATCTTTTTAGCCACATGGAGCTTTGTTTGAGGCCATGATAGAACAGCAATCACTTACAATATGCCCACAGTTTCCTGGCTCTCTAGGACAACCTCCATGATGGTACCCCAACTTTGGAAACTAGTGTCATACTGCTGTCCTTAAAAGCTGAGGTTTACAAATCTCTTTGAGGTAGAACTATGGTGAGAATAGAAAGGTCAGGACTGGCCAGAAGCAGAGGGGAAAGGCAAAGGGCAGAGGACTTTCAGGGCAAGAAAACCCTCTGTGTGACATAATGCCAGGAACATGTATTCATATATGCCCAGACCCACTTAGAGTAGCTCCTTGGGTCAGCGACGGACACTGTGTGACCATGATTTATCAATGCAGAGTCGTCAGTTTGTGTAGATGGCTGCACTGGGAGGAATATTGATAATGGAGGAGGTTGCTTGTATGCCAGTGGGAAAGCTGTGGAAAATCTGTCCCTTCATTTTTCTATGAACCTAAGCTACACTTTTTAAACTTAACTTTAAAATGTTTTACGTATGTGTATATTTTATGTATGTTTGTACATGGGTGCGTGTACATGGGAGCATAAGAGGGTATCTGATCCCCTGGAGCTAGAATTGCAGGTAGTTGTGAGAAGCCTGCTATGGGTGCTGGGAATCAAATCTGGGTCCTTTGCAAGAGCAGCAATTATTCTTAATCAGAGAGCCATCTCTCCAGTTCCACACATTTTTTTTAGAGAAACCATTAATCCTTGAGAGATGGATCCATGTGTAAAACACTTCCTGTGGAAATCTGAGGACCAGAGTTCGGCTCATCAGAACCCACATAAATTCTGGCAAGCATGGCACAGTCTCAGCACGTAGGAGGCAAAGACATAGCTCCCTAGAGTAAGTCGGCTAGCTGAGCTGTCTGAACTGGCGACCTCTGGGTTCCCGCTGTGCTGTAGAAGATGTGGGCTGACTGAGGGAGACGTACGGCATCAACCTCTGATCCACCTGCACGTGCATGCGTGCACACAGAGCTAACGTTAGAGCACACACTTCTGCAGAGGCTGCTGCATTTGACTCACCTCTGTAGAGAACCATCCCTCCTTCCCTGTCTCGTTTCTGCACCATGGAGCTTGTCCTTGCCAGCCCACTCTGGAGCACAGTTTGAGGAAAAGTGATCGTATGCAGAATGGATGAGTTCTGGATTCCCCCCCCCCCCCCCCCCCCCCCCCCCCCCCCCCCGCCCCCCCCAC